ACAACATGATTCAATTTGTAAAATTCAAAATAGGTAAAACTATATATACACACACAAATACACACATATAGGAATATATATATGAGTTATATATCCACATATACATTCATATATAAGATGTGCACATATGTAGTAAAACAATAAGAAGAAATAAGGACATGATTACCAAAAAGGGAGAATAGTAATTATTCCTGAAGGAGAGGGAACGGGACATAATTAGGAAAGTAAATTACATGAAGCTCCCAAATTCCTATAATGTTTTACTTCTTAGTCTGACGGCCAAGGACACAGTAGTTCCCTTGCTCAATATTTAAATTGAGCAGATACATTTCATATATTTTATGAATAGTATCTGTTTCAGTAATATACATGAAAGAAAAGTGAATTGATGAGGTATAGTCATTGATGCCTCAAAGATTTTGGGCCATGTCACAGTGTGATTCTTTGTATAACTGTTAATCCTTTCTCATGCTGCTAATAAAGATATACTCGAGACTGGGTACTTTCTAAAAGAAAGAGGTTTAATGGACTCCCAGTTCCACATGGCTGGGGAGGCCTCATAATCATGGTGGAGGACAAAGGCAGAACAAAGGGACGTCTTACGTGATGGCAGGCAAGAGAGCTTGTGCAGGAGAACTCCCATTTATGAAATTATCATATCTCATGAGACTTATTCACTATCATGAAAACAGTATGGGGGAAACTGCCCCACGATTCAATTATCTCCATCTGGCCCCACCATTGACACATGGGGGTTATTACAGTTCAAGGTGAAATTTGGGTGAGGACACAGCCAAACCATATCAATAACCTACTGCAAAGTACAGCTGACTCCAAGCCTGGCAGTAGATTCATTCTTGAATGCTTTACACTAGTGACTGTAGTTGTGACAATTTTATTTCCAGATAGCCATTACTGCAATTCTTGTCCACTACGTTACTGTTGCAACAACAAAAGCTGCTTTAGAATGTGACAGCCGTTGTTGACAACAGGTCTAGGAGGTAGGACAGGAGTGGGATGCTTCCATCGGATGTTCCAGGGGAGCATGGAGTACATCGTTGGCACTTTGTTTTGAGAGGCAACTAATGCCTTTTATTTTGTAAATGAATCGACATTAGGTGGAAGATGACCTGCCTTGAGTGTGCTGGCATAGGTAGCAGCAGTAAGGGCAGCATTCCAAGGAGCCTGTAAAATAAGCAAGCTAAGGTGACAGAAGACGAGCTCTCAGAGCCAGGGAAGCAGCCTGGGCCCAGGAGATGGCTCCAGGAGCAATTTAAATGATGAAGTGATAGGCATTCAATACAGAGGAAACACAGAGGACAGTGCAATCAATCACTGCCAAGCTTATCTTCTGACAAGGAGTAGGACTCCAGCTTCCAGATGTAACATTAAAACGTAATGTTTCCACTGGGGTTTAGCATGGCAGGTTTCCCTGAAGCTTCAGTTTCACTCGGTTAACTAATTATGAGAAAATGTGACATCGGTATTTACTTTTTCTACAGGGACAAATCATTGCCAGCAGGAGGAAGAAGTTGTTATTTTTGTTCTGCTTTGTTTTGTCATTAAAAAGAAATTACTTACACAGCAGTAAATATACTCTTGTTAGGGGGGAAGAATTATCTCCATAGTTCTATCCATTCAATCATGTCTTTGGTTTTCCAGGGACATGGAGGATAAAAGAGAGTTAAGAGCTTGGTAATCACACTGCCACGTGTGTACCTATGCAACGATTTTGCATGTTCTTCACATGTACCCCAAAACCTAAAATGCAATAAAATAAATAAATGGGGGGGAAAAAAGAGCTTGGCTGTTAGAATTGGGTCTGAAAATGAACTCTCTCACCTACTAGCTATCTGACCTTAAGCAAGTTATTTAAGCACTCTGAGCGTGCTTTTGCAACTGTGAAACTGGGAGCGATGCATCTACTACAGAGTTATTCATGAAAGATGAAAGGACATAATGCAGTTGAGGCACTTGAGCACAGGGCTTCTGCATAATAAGCGCTCAATACAATTTAGCCTTTATTCTTAGTGACCCTGATGCGCTATTATATAAATATAGAAACAGTTTATGTGTCATTTAGACCTTGTGTTGCCAATTCTATATGACCACACATCTAATCATCAACTGAGCCTGTACTCTGGCACTGTAAGCTAAATGGTGTATTAAACATTTTATTCCTCCTCACCCTGATGTAATGAAAGGTTTCCAGAGAAAATTTAATGATAATGAACGAAACAGTTATTCTCTCCCATCTGCTTTTAACTTTTCAAGGGCGGATCATAATCTCAAGCAAATATCACAGATAAACTTGTGCTTCCTCTTCTACTGTCTGGATGCTAGAGAAATACTATGTTTGGGGTGCTTTTAACAAATTAGAAAGTGATTTTACAAATGACTTCTCAATTGAACTTGCTACAATCCCATGAGGTAAGCAGTTTATGATTAGCCCCATTTTACAGATAAGGAAAACAAAACAAACAAGATAAGTTAAATGACAAAGCCACTGTATTCAAGCACTCTATGAAAGAGTACCATGGGAATGAAAAATGCCAGGATTACTGGACAATGAAAAAATAGACTTTTCCAAGAATAAATTCTTGCCTTAGAGAGAGCCAAAGTGACTAGTTATTACAGAGCAAGGACTATTCGTGGAAAGCAAACAAAAAAGAAAATCAAGAGACATAGGGTTTTATATTCTGATTTCACAATCCATTTGCCCAATGTGCCTTAAATTTTCTACCAATAAATTTGAGGAAAAAAAATTGCTACTTCTCACCTCTCTTACAAGTGTATTTCAATGCCATTATTGTGTACAAATAATATGTAAGATTGATGCTATGACATTCAAGAGGTTTTATACTAGCCATATACATGGGAACTCTTAAAAATGTATAAACAGAAGAAAATGCATTTTGAGTGGTAGATAGAAAATCCTGGCAATAAAGAAAAAAGATATTTTTTCAAGAATATAAGGCCTAGAAAATTATGAACAATTAGATAAGATAGGTAAATCATCACTATAATTTTGCATTATGTACTTGAACTATTTTTGGAAGTTACAGAACAAACTATGAGAGGTATGAACATGTAATAAATTTTTTGAAGCCATAAAATTATAATATCCCACTAATTTCGATAATGTTTCTTCAACTAATCACATATAAGGTTCTCAAAATAATCAATTCTGAAGTGCTCTTAACACCAAGCAAGTCTTTCTGGCAGTAGTGATCTTTTAGTACTTCAAAGGACCCTGCCATATGCCCCCTGTGATTGCATAACCAATTAAGAAGTTCTAGTGGACTATAACTTGTCATTTACAAGTCTCCCTCATCCACCATTTTTGTTTGAATGGGGGATAAATTATTTAGATAGGAAGGCAAAGACAATCAAAAGTCATTAAGGGGAATCCAAGTTCAAAATAAAAACCAAGCACAAGCTTCTAGTTGATAATGTGAACATGGAAGTGCCAAGGGCCTATATAAATGTGCAAACACCTAGTCATACCAACAGCAATCAGCAAAATAGTACATAAGAGCAGGTTACCATTAGGTGGTCGATTGCCTAATTCTGATGCAATGGGCCTGAACATAATTTTCCCTATGATTCTTCATAGAAAATAATACAACTTCATACCAGTATTGAGTCAGATTTCACAATGTGGCAGTAGAAGAGGCCTGCCTAAAACTCCTCCCTTTTCTGAACTCATTCATTTAATAAACACTTTTTCATTGTTTGCTATTTGTTGGAAACTATATCAAAGCACTCATAGTCTATTAGGGAAAACAGGTAAATAAAGCATGAAATTTGCACATTAAACCCTAGAATGTAAAAAATACTTGGCACAATGATAAGCAGATCAGCAAGCCCTCACAGAGGATGAGGTGAGGTGCGTAGAAACTGTTTATATGGCAAAAGAGAGAATGATATGCTCTCTCTTATATGTCAGAGAGAACAGTATGAATAAAAGCAGGGAGGTGCGATAAGATGGTGAGCTCCAGAAATTAGATGTAGAATTAGAGGTAGTGCCACACAGCTGGAATATAGATCCTGGGTAGGAGAAGGAAAAAGATGGTAAATGAAACTATAAGCAGTGGAGGAAGACAAAGATTCCATCATTTAGTGCTTACTAGTCCATGTTAAAATACAATATTGGAAAGCTGAACACAATTATTGGTCTGCTGGAAAGATTTCATTCCAGAGGCAATAGGGGTAGATTTTTACTATAGAATAATCATTTTGGTGCTAGCTGGGTACTCACTGAACTAGGGAAAAGAAAATCTAGAGGTATGGATACCAATTATGGGAGAATTTCAAAAGTCCAAGGAAGATACAAAGGGGTCCCAAACCAAAGTTTCATATAGCATATTTGTAAAACATAATTATGTATAATAACTGACTCATTGTAGCCACTTAATAAACATTTTTGTGACTGACTGGATAAATGAACAATTCCAAAGGTGATATGGAACAAAATTAGGTATTTTCTTTTTTGAGTGAAATAGCTATCTCTTAAAATGCAAACAACTCATCTCAACTAGGTAATAACAAATAGCACTTACTGCTTGACTTCCTTTCAGACTTAGAAAGCTCCTTGCAAATGAGTGATTGGAACATGACGCCAATGTCCAATCTGGAATGGACTGTAAGGAATATCTACCATAAACTCCCATTTTAAAGACAAAAATCTGAGTCATAAAAGTTATAGGACTGGCCCAAAACCACAAAATGTTTCTGCTGATGGGACTGAAATCAGGCAGAATAAATGAAGGCTTTACAATATTTGTCAACCAAACTAGTTGGAAGAGATTTGAAAGGTATCAAATTCAGCTAGGGTGACTTAAGTTTTTAAAACTGTTTGACATTTCATGTTCAAAAACCACAAAGCAACATCTTAAGAGACATTTTCTTAAACAATTATTTGCTCTGACAATGAACTGCAAAGACCAGGGATCAAGTTTTAATTCTGAATTGGTATAAATCAGAAAAATGATTCTTACCATAATCTTCTGAAGAGACTGGTGACCTAAAAGGAAACAATAAGCATGATCAATATTTTATATGATAATTATGACAATCATCAAGCATAATTTCAAAGTAATTAAACCCTCAAATTCAATTAAATGGAGACTCAATATAGCAGACAGTGTAATTAATGTGTTGATTGCAATGGTATATTTCAATCCACAGCTCCCAACTCTTACCTGGATTGGTTGGATGTTACAGGTTACTAAAATGTCAGTCTATGCATGGTGCTCTAGAGCTGCAAAAACTTAGCTAAGTCTAGATTTACCACACAAAAAAGAGAACTCACAGAAATGTAATATAGATGAAATCCTCTGACATGTGGTGCCGAAGAACAGGCATCCAGTGTAAATGCCAGGGATGTAAAAAAAAAAAAAAAAAAACCACTAGCTAGATTGGGTATCTGTCAATACAAAGAGATCTACTTGAACGGTATAAATTGAGTAGGAGATAAAAGGAATAGCATGCATCCTTATCATTACTGGTTTTTGTTTCCACTCTTCATGGAATTTAACGTTTGAGTGAGCTGACCCTCTAATTGCAGCCCTATGTCTCAGAACCTGGAAGAAACAGCATGAGGCAAGAAGGCAACCACTGGGGTTCCACAGAACTTTTGGAAATCAACAACTTCTGCAAACTATATGTGAGTTCTACTCTAATTATGGTAATCATATCTCAAATGAAAAATCATATCAACCCTAAAAGGCTTGCTTCCTCTCAGTTGACTACTAATGGCAATACTTTGAGCAATATAGACCTAAGCTTGGTGATGAATTCACCTCCAGCTTGAAGACTACAACTTTGACTCACACTTATTCCTTTCTGGGGAGAAAGAGAGACATATGATATTATACTCAGAGTTGTTGAAATTATGAAGGGAAAGGCAAGATATAACATACTTCCCCTATTTTGAAGGAGTCTTCTTCTCTGAATGATTGGCTCAATGAAGTCCATAGCAGGGAAATGACCAAAGATAAACTCAGGAGTTTGGCAATAAAGCTGCTAATTATTAGAACTAATATTTATGAGACATGAAGATAAATGTCAGGGCAACAATCATTATTCAGTCAATGCACAAATGGTTGAAGCTAATTTTTAGCTATTTTGGGATGCTTGATATGATTTTATTTACTGGTTAGTAATATTATTGTTTATTATGTGAGTGAACAGTAAAGTATAAAGACACAGTGGTAATGGAGAAAAAGCCAACCTCAATGAGTGGCAAAGTATCAATTTTATTTCAACTGAGCAAACCTCTTAAAGTAGACTTTCACATGAAAACCACAGAATCCCAAGATTTGGTGGAAAGGAAATTAGCTTCTAGGAGATGAACATGGGTAGTGGTGAGCGGAAACTACCACAATCCCTAAGTCAACGCTGCTCAAAAAACGCCACTTGGCCTCCCTGGGTAGGGCTGATTTATCCTCCGATTGGATTCCCTTCTTTTGTATTATCCACACACAGGCCTTTCTCACTGGGTTGGAACCCTCGTGAAACTAAGACTATATCTTGTTTAGAACAAGTGAGCCCTTAGTTAAAATTTGTTGAGTTGAATTAACCTCAGTCCCATCACACTGATATTCAAACTGACACATTCTGGAGCTTCCCAAAAAGTCATCATGTTACTGTTAAACCATCTTTAAGGCAAGTTTGCCTACTCCTAGGCCAGCTGCAAGGAAAAGTCCTAGAGAATGTGCTTGAAGTTCTAATTGGTTATAATGTGGACATTCTCAGAGCCAAAGGACATCAAAAGTACCCAGAAGCAGACACACCCATACTCTCCTTCAATAATTAGGAAAAACAAAGGAGGGAGGCAAGTATTGAATGAGAGGTGAAATGAAATTAGAAGCTGAATCTAAAAAACACATATATTTTAAAGAAGATGAGCTAATTCCTTCAGCTGCTCAGGTCATAAGAGTCAGCCACAAGGAAGTATCTTTCCTCCTGGTGTTTGCCAATGAGAAGTAATTAAAAATGTGTCTTGGATTGTTTGCAATTAATTTGTCACAAAGCAAAATTCATGCCAATGGACAACTGAATGTCTCAGGTGGAGAGCTTGTGAAGCAGGGTCTTTGCTGCCTTTCTGCAAAAGCAAAGCATTGATATTAAATTTGAAAAATTCCAGATGGCTCCGTTAGAGTCCCAAGGGGATGAATTCTGCAGTATGTCCAGGCAGTGGATAAAAAATATCAATTTCAGAGTGTTTTGTGAAAATTAGTCATGTTGAGTTTCCACGTTTAATGTCTCCCATATGCCTGGCTTTGTGGAATTTTAAGACATATGGAGTATTTCCATCTTCACTCAGTATTTCACCTTTTACTGAAACAAGTTACTGCATTGTACTACTGAGATGTGCACATCATCCATTATCGCTGGAAATGGGCATAAAGATTTCACTCATGGGTGGATCACCTGAGGTCAGGAGTTCAACACCACCCTGGCCAACATGGTGAAACTCTATCTCTACCGAAAATACAAAAATTAGCTGGGCTTGGTGGCAGGTGCCTGTAATCCCAGCTACTTGGGAGGCTGAGGCAGGAGAATCGCTTGAACCTGGAAGGCAGGGGTTACAGTGAGCTAAGGTCATGCCACTGCATTCCAGCCTGGGTAACAAGAGTAAAACTCTGTCTCAAAAAAGAAAGAAAGAAAAAAGTTAGCTCAGAAAAGAAGAAATATTCTGAAATCAGCAATATAAGTAGTTATTTTAACAACAGAGGTTGAATCCCAGGAACAGATAATCTTAAACCTGACAACGAGGCATGCAATGCAGGAAAGCTCCCTGGTTATTCTTTTCACCACACCTGAAAGACATGTGGTTTTATCCCAGACTGCTTATTTTTCCTCATGTATACTTTATCTTGGAGCAAGCCTCTGCCCTTATAATGTAAACTATTACCAGCATTCTTACAGCTCTCCTCTTCATTTCTTTTCTGATCATGAGTCCTTTAGCTATAGAATATTTTATATTTGTTTCTGCTTTTATTTATTTTGATACTTTTTACATTTTGTTCAAATGTAACAAAATAAAACAAAACAAAAATTCAAGCCATGCATTGAAAAATATTTCTCCTATTAAGCCTAAATCATTATTATTCAGGTTCGAATCTCTCCATTCATGTTGATTCAATTTATTACTTGAGACCCTGTTGTTACCAGGCCATGTGCCAAGTGATGGAGACACAAAGAACAATTTCAGGGAACTCATAATCTAGTGAAAAAGAAAAATATGTAAACAAATGATTGATTATAATGTAAAATATATATAATGATCAAAATATACGTGAAGTTAAAGAGGTAGCACAGAGGACAGAGAGATTGAATCGGTATGAAAAGTGTGAAAGAAAGCTTTGAGAAGCAAGAATCATCTGAACTGGGCCTGAAGAATAAAGAGGAGTTTATTAGGTAAGTAAGAAAGGAGAAGAACTCCAGGCAGAACAGCAATAGGCGAGTGAAACGGAGTACAGACGTGAAATTGCATAGAATCCTATCAGATATACAAGTAACTTGGTATTGCTAGAATGTAAAGGGGGAATAAGAGCAAGGACTTGAGAAGTAAGTGGCAAGGGCCATTTCATACAGGGCATGCGGGGCCCCTGTGAAGTGCTTGCAATTTACCTTCTAAGCTAAATGGAGCAAGCTTGCAAGGCAGAGAAGTCACACAGTTTGGGCAGGCAGTTTGAGAGTGAACCATGAAAGAACAAGAAGATAAATTAAAGGCAGAGGTCAAGTTAAAGACTATGACTGAAAAACTTCCATGTTAGTAACACAGAAAAAAAATTTCTCTGCTCTTCAATCTTTTTGAAACCCATGGAAAATGACAGGGAAGATGAGAAACAGTAAAAGAAATACCCTCTTTGACTAAACTAGATATTTATAAGTCCAAACCATCATACATGAAGAAGAGCTACCAAGTATAGTAAAAATAGGGCTAAGCTTTAGGGAAACAGAGAATTTTTATTTTAGTCAGCTAAAGAGATACAAACTATTTTATGCACAAGGAAACCTATGTCAGAAAGCCTTCCACTTTAAGCAGGGGTGTCCTGCTAGTCAGAAGTAAAACCAAACCTAGAAGAGAGTGCTGCTAAGAAAAAGCTTGAAGATAACAGAGAGAAAGTCAAACTTAGAGCAGCACACCAAATCACTAAGCCCAATCATCCATCCAAACCAGAAGCTCCAAAAAAAAAAAAAAAAAAACCAACCAAACAAACAAAAAAACAAAAAAAACCCAACTCACCCAATGCAAATAGTACAAGTAATAATTGAAAAAGAAAAAGCATGACATCTATGCACAAATGCCAGAGGAGAAAACAAAACATAGGCAAAGAACACACTAAAAGGATGATGGATGAAGCAGATAAAAATTATTAATAAATCTCCATGAAATTTAGAAATGGATGGAAGGAAGGAAGGGGGGAAGGGGACAAAGGGACAAGTGGGTAGGGGAGAATGGAGGAAGGGAAGGAAGGAGGGGTAAACAGAGTGTCTGTGAAATGTAAACTTAAGAAGAAAAATGATCAAGAAATAGTTACAGAGAGGTGAAAAGAGCAAAAGTCTGTCCAGAGCCTTTGAACTAGTTGTTATTAAAGAAACTGTGGCTTTTTTCCATTGTGATACCACTGCACTGGAAAAAGAAGATTAAGAGAAGACAAATAATAATTAAAAATATATTAAGATATGAAACATTGATGAAACAAATTGAAAAAGATACAATAAATGGAAAGACAGCTCATGCTCATGAATTAAAATAATTAATATTGTTAAAATGTTCATAATATTTTAAGCAATCCTAGAGACGTAATTCCTATGAAAATACCAAAGACATTCTTCACAGATTAGAAGAAACAGTCTTAAAATTTATATGAAACCACAAAAGACCCTGAATAGCCAAAGCAATCTAGAACAAAAAGAACAAAGCTGGAGGCATCACACTACCTAGCTTCAAAATATTTTACAAAGCTATAGTAACCAAATCAGCATGACACTGGCATAAAAACAGACAAA